CTAACTCCAGCTTCCTGCTAATGCACCCTCTGGAGGCATCAGGTGATGGCTTAAGTAATTACATCCATACTTCTGACCAGGCCAAAGCCAGGCCCTGCCTTGGCTATTGTGGGACATCAGAAAGTGAACTGATAGATGGAAGATCTCTGTCTGTGGTTTTTCTGCCTTTAAAATAAATACAAATAAATAATAACAACAGCAGCAAAAAAGAAAATAGAAGCAGTATTTTTCTACCATACTTATAAGCCAAGGTGGACATTTACCCTTTAAACATAACTCATATTCTTTTTATAATGGCATTACCCTTTGATGTGAAAAAATTTATTCTCAAAAAAAAAAAAAGGCTGTAATTTGAATTAACTCCAGTATTAAGGGGCCAGTAAAGCCCATCAGATGAAGTATTCAGTTTAGACAGATGTAACTATCATTATTCTCTCAGAAGTTTTCTCAGTATCCCTAATACAACCCCAAGAAAGATATATGAAGGGAGCTTTTATTCCTCCCAAAGATACATAATTGTAGTCACATTCACCTGATATTATTTATATTCCCCTAAATTCTCCTCCATCACAGATTTATTTGTCAAAGGTTTGAGTCCCAAATACCCAGTGAATATTGGGTATATATATAATGTATATATATGTATATAATATCTTCTGTTATGTGACTTTCTTTCCAGTTAATTCATGCATTCATATCATAGGAATGCCCCACACCGTTACAATTGGATCAGAGAACAGAGAAGGGTATAGGAGCCTACCTGAAAAATTGATACTGCTTTACAGACATGAAAGAAATGAGATATTTACTAATTCTTGTATGTCAAGGATTGGTTGTTGCTAGAAGTAGAAGGAGAGACTGTCTGAAGAATGGAGAAAGAATGGAGACATAATGGCTGAGGGAGCCAGTGCTTCTCAGTCCCTTGGGCAGAGCTTCATTTCCATTCTTTTTTGTGTCATCTGGGTTATTCGTATCAATCCCCTGTATGTTGTTTAATTGTTTGAACATGGATCAAGCAAAAGAATTTTGGAAAAAAATTAATTTGCTGTTTCTCAGTATGAACATTTTATGAAATGTGCTGGACAGTGACACTTGGAAGAATATAGTCCTTTGTATTGAAAACTTCCTCAAAGACAGGAAACAGATCTTCACTTACTTTGCAGACACTATAGCGCCTTTATTAGAAAAGTGTGATGTATCAGAAAGTGTTATTCTTGAAGTCTGAAGAATTCTCAAAGAATGATCTCTATCATGTCTTTTGGGAGACATTTCACTGCCTATCTTAACGTTTGTTTCTCTTTTCTATAGTATGGTTTATAGTGATGAATGTCTGCAGTTACCAGGTCCTTTTCTGAAGCCATGGTTTGGCGAGTAGTTGAGAAGAGCCTGGAATTCAAGAAATAACTTATCAGTGCTGAGAGCAAGGCCAATAGATATCATTCCCTCCTCTGTAAAGCAAGGGTGATACAATAGTAGCCATTGTGTTAGTGAATTTTTCATCACTGTAACAAATACAGGAAAGGAGCTACTAAGGAACAAAGGAGGTTTATTTTGGCTCAGTTTTGAAGGGTCACAGTCTAAGACTGGATAGTCTGTTTAGCCTAACTTATGATGGTAATGGATAGTGGATTGGTGGGAGGAGGGGTTTGCATGGCAAGCTAGGAAGCGGACAGAGGAGGACACTCATCGTCTACCCATGATATAGTCTTTTTAGTAAGCAAAAATGGCTGGATCATACGGCTCCTCGGCTCTAGCAAACTAATCCAATCCAATCACTTTCCAAGGCCACACTTTCAAACATAATTGGATTATGTTCTATTCTTGATTCATTAATTAAGACTCTGGGTATCATGTCCTTACCACATGGATCCTTGGGAGATACCCAAACTGTTTTCCAAACTCCATAAAACCTACTTCATGGGGCAGTTACCAACATTGTATGAAATAATTTGTATAAAGCCCTGAGCAGAGGTTTGAGTGTTTATACGCAATACTCAGTAAATATTAGATCAAATGTTGATGCCAATATGTATATAGTGGCAGTAGTTCAGATGAATAAATAATAATAAAATATTTAATTTATTTAAGCCTTTCTTTACTCAGATTTATTAATAGGTATTATTTTACCGATGAGGAAAATGAGGGTGAGAAATAAAATAGAAGTTCATGCATGATCACTGAACTAGTAAATATGAAAATCAAACTCAGGAGCTTATGAGGGAAGCAGACTTGAAAATCCATTCTTGTTTTTTTGTAGCAGCTGACTCTTGACAAGCCTTTATGCAAAGATAGGCAGAGAAGTTGCTGTGGAATCTGGCTGACTTTTGCATGCCAGGTTAATCATCCCTCTCACTTCCTCACACATATTTCTAGTGTTAAATACTGTTTGTTCTTTTGTTTTGCTTATTTCATGCTGTTATTTTTATAAAAATTTCATTTTATTTTAAAGGCAGAGAACAGAGAGGGGTCTTTCATCTGCTGGTTTACTCTGTAAAACCTGCAATAGCCAAGGCTGCACCAGTCTGAGGCCAGTGTCTCAAAATGCCGTACAGATGTCCAACATGGATGACAGGGACCAAGTACTTGAGTGATTTCCTGCTGCCCCCCAGGAGCCTCATTACGAAGGTGGATTGGAAGCAGAAAAGGCAGGAATTGAACCAAGCTGATATGGGATGCAAGTATCCCAAGAAGGGACTTAATCTGGCAAAAGTTGATTTGTGAAACCTGTTGGTTAATCCATAGATTGAAACTAAACATGTTTTCTTACCTATAAATGAATATGCTAGTGCATATCTTGCAAAGCTGTTTGGGAATTAACATTTTTAGTATATTGGAAATAATCATAGTGGGTTCCAGTCACAGAGTAGGAATTCATAAATTATTTCTGTTACTAACAGAAAATGAAAAAAAAAATCCTTTATCAGCTCTTCTACACGTGCTTCTAACGTTGAGCTCTAAGAAGCTTAGTTCATACATTTGCATGGTAATTAAAAATCAGTGATGTTTAAAGGGACTTAAAATCCACACTGGAATTAATGGGATAGGTGAAGCATACTGGAACTTAAATATTTTTTCTTTCTAGCTAATTAAAGTGCTTAGGAAAAATAACAACATAAAAAAAAAAACTCTAGCAGAGTTGCGTTTCTCACAGCTATGCTTGTATGCAATAATATACTCATTTGTTTTCCAAATTTAAAAGATCTGTTTTGCAAATTATCCCCTGGGCAAAGTGAACATATTTTCAATAATAGACTCATATTGAAAAAACATTTCTTTTACTTTTGAATTAAAATAACAATTCTCTTTCTACTCATATTTAGTACATTTTAAATATAGTTCCAGAGAAACCTGTCAAAGATGATCAGAAGAATATTTTAATGAGCAAAGAAAGTCATTCAAAGAAGACTTCAGGAACAATTTATTTTGCATAGTGTAGTTCTTTTCACTGCCTCTCTCAGTTGTATTTCAACTGAACACATTGGTAGATAAAATTACCTGGCCTCAATTCATAGAGCGTTGTATGTATGATATTGTTATTACTACTTATGTATGATATTGTTATTACTACTTAGTACTTGCTTTTGTAAGGCTTGGGTTTATCTTCATTTTCTAATTTAAAAAGTCATCAGTGATTCTTAGAAGGATATATTTAATGTGAGAAAAGTAAAGATTAGTAAGTGCATTACTCCTCATGTAGGATCTCTGTCCTTAATGTGCTGTACACTGAGGCTTAATGCTATAACGAGTACTCAAACAGTATATTTCACTTTGTGTTTCTATGGGGGTGCAAACGATTGAAATCTTTACTTAATGTACACTAAACTGATCTTCTGTAAAAAAAAAAAAAAAAGAAATTATCAATTCCCAACTTGACTCTCACTGGGATTAAACATGACAATAGGTCTGATCTGATTTCATCATCATTTAAAAAAAAATCATCTATTATTTTTCACTTTATGTTTCTGTGAGGGAGCACACTGTTGAAATCCTTACTTAAGGTATACTAAGCTGATCTTCTGTATATTAAGATAATTGAAAATGAATCTTGATGTGAATGGAAGGGGAGAGGGAGTGGGAAAGGGGAGGGTTGTGGGTGGGAGGGACGGTATGGGGGGGGAAGCCATTGTAACCCATGAGTCGTACTTTGGAAATTTATATTCATTAAATAAAAGATAAAAAAAAAAGATTAGTAAGTGCAAGCAGTCTTCCAAACTTATACATAATTGGAGGAATTTTGACTCAAAATTCTGGGATGGCTAGAACCTAGAGTGGTATGTAGACATTAATTTGGCTATATATATATATATATATATATATATATATGTATACACACACACACACACACAAACACATGCATGCATACATACACACGTACACTTTTAGGAATAAAAAAGGAATAATCATTTGCTCCAGGGCAGACACTACATGTAGAAGATGCAAACATGAAAAGACAGACCAGATGTTTTCTCTTATGACTCTTACAAGAGTGAAGGAGACAGACAATCATGAGATCGAAATGCAAATCAGAAAATTACAAGTATTCAGTGCAGAATCTAAATGTGTGGATGCATGAAGAGACAGTTTTACAGTAAGAGGTTGGCATTTTAAAGATATTGTAAGCTGAGCTTTGAGGGATGGAGGGGGCCCACCTTGGAGAAGAGGTGAAGGCAGAATGTACTGTGGTCAGATAACCAGCAAATCCATTTGTAGCTGTTTAAGCAAAAGTGTCAGTTGCTGAGCACCCGGCTGTGCTTCCTGGGGCTATCATGAAGTTTTGGAATGAAATCATACTTAGCTGATATTTTTGGCATGGGAAGAGCACAACTCCATGAAAAAAAAAAAAAAAAAAAGCTGCTTTCTTGCTTCATATGAAATGTAGCCAAAAATGCCTAACTATGAAATGGTTTTTTTTCCCAGAACTGATCTTTTTTAAATTTTTATTTATTAATTTTTGACAAAGAAACCTGTTATTTAATGAGTACAAATTTCCTAAGTACAACTTTAGGAATATAGTGATTCTTCCCACCATACCTATCCTCCCACCACTGCTTCCACAATACCTCCTCCTCCCTCTCCCATTCCCGGTCCCATTCTCCATTAAGATTCATTTTCAGGGGGGATGGTTCCATCATGGCGTCAATGCAGAAACGACTACAGAAAGAACTGTTGGCTTTGCAAAATGACCCGCCTCCAGGGATGACTTTAAATGAAAAGAGCGTTCAAAATTCAATTACACAGTGGATTGTAGACATGGAGGGTGCACCAGGTACCTTATATGAAGGGGAAAAATTTCAACTTCTATTTAAATTTAGTAGTCGATATCCTTTTGACTCTCCTCAGGTCATGTTTACTGGTGAAAATATTCCTGTTCATCCTCATGTTTATAGCAATGGTCATATCTGTTTATCCATTCTAACAGAAGACTGGTCCCCAGCGCTCTCAGTCCAGTCAGTTTGTCTTAGCATTATTAGTATGCTTTCCAGCTGCAAAGAAAAGAGACGACCACCAGATAATTCTTTTTATGTGCGAACATGTAACAAGAATCCAAAGAAAACAAAATGGTGGTATCATGATGATACTTGTTGATGATGCCACTGTTATCATCCTCCTAGCAGAAGATAGTCCTACTGAGAAAATGAGCACTTTGATCATTCAGTCTTTGAACTTTAACCTTTGACTGGAAGTGACCTATAGGCAATGAAGACTACTTCCTTTTACTGCATTTTTACTCGTGTGCATTCTGGGCGCATGTTGATCGCTGGTTCAGTCCAGGCAACTGACATGCTTTTATTAGTCATACAGTATCAATGCAGGTGTCAGGAAATGTCAAATATAATTCCATTTTTTATTTTTATTTTTTTAAGCTTTTGGAATAGTTCCAGGTCCTCATGTATTGTGCAATAACAATGACTTCCCTGGTGGTTTGAAGACGTTCATTGCCGGCAATGGACGTTGTAATAGGAAAAGTTTTCATTAGCTTCTGCCACTCGATGATTAATGCATGATAGGGCCTATGAAATGAACTTAGTGGTTATAGTGGGATTATAAATAAAGTGAGGGATCCAACATTACTTTGAAAGGCACCCCAACTGTTTATATTTGGATTCTATGCACTGTGATCCTAAGGTTAACAGCATGAATTAACATGCGTCTTCAAAGGACTGTAATGAAAGATCATTGCGTATTTATTTAATTGTTTATATCTGCTGTCAAATTGTTTTGACATGGAAGGTTTTCAAGTAACATTGGCAGAGAGGTACAATATGTTATCCCTATGGTGAAAATAAATTCATTTGTTGTATATAATTCCTCAATCTCTGAAGTAAAGGTGTGAGTAATATAGGGTATGAATGGTTTAATCAAGGCTTTATTTTGGAAGTAAGAGAAATGGCAGTGATGATTAAATTGCTGCAGTCCATAATTTGGGCTTGTTATTTGTACATTAAAGGTTTTTTTCCAAGTAGATTACACTCTGTTACTTCCTACTAGCCATCAGCATGAGCCCTACTGCCTAAACACTATTTCATTTATTTATGTTTGGAAAATCCATAAACATTTTTGTTTGCAATCTTGTTTCTTTTGTTATGTTTTAAGTTGTTTGAATGTTATAATACTTTAATTGAAAAACTTTTGTCAAGCTTTTTCTTGTAAATTTTCTTTACTTGTAAGTATCATCTTGTCTTCAATCCTGTATCCTAAAATAAGAAATACATTTTTGACAGAGGCTTAATGTTTAAAGATAAAAAAAAAAAAAAAAAAAAGATTCATTTTCAATGAACTTTATACACATAAGACCAACTCTAATACTAAGTGAGAGAGAGAGAAAGAGAATGCTTCAATATGTTGATCACTCTCCAAATGGCTGCAAGGGCCAAGGCTGGCCCAAACTGAGGCCAGTAGCTAGGAACTCCACTCAGGTCTCCAGTGTAGGTTTCAAGGGTGCAAGTACTTAAGACATCTTCCACTGCCTTCCCAGTTACATTGTCTGGGAGCTGTATTGGAAGCAGAGCAGCCATGACTGGAACTACCATTCTGGTATGAAATGCCAGCATTGCATGTGGCAGCCAAAACTGTTGCGCCACAACACCAGCTGTGTATATATTTCTTATCCTAGGATATTGTTATTTTGCAACTTCAATCTGAGTGATGAACAAATGTTCTTTTGTTTGTCTTAATTAGTTTAATAAGAACAGTTTATGGAAACTGGGAATAGGGATTATGAATTTTTAAACTTTGCATACTTCTACATAACTTTCAAAAAAATTCCCAAGACTATATGGAACAATCTGGAAAAACAATTTAAAGATGAAATGCTGGGGGTGAGTGTTGTGGCACAGTGGGTTAAGCTGCCACTTGGGATACCTACATCCTTTGTCAGAGTTCCTGATTCCAGTCCTGGCTACTCCATGCTTCCAAAACAGCTTTATGCTCTTGTACCTGGGAGGTAGCAGTTGATGAGCCAAGTTCTTCAGTCTCTACCACCCACATGGGAGACCCAGATGGTGTTCAGGACTCATGGCTTCAGCCTAGCTCATCCTTGGCTGTTGTGGCATTTGGGAAGTGAACCCGTGTGTGGTACATCTCTCTGCATACCTATATCTTTCTATCGCTCCCTCTGTCCTTTTTTCAAAAAAAAAAAAAAAGATTGTAATCAAACTAAATTATTCTTGAGAGATACACCTACACTGATGTATTTAGTGTATATATGGTTCTTCAAAAAGTTCCTGTAAAAATTGTGAAAATCATTTTGAATGTTTGCATTTTTTTATAATCTGCATTCCATAAATTGTTTGAAGTTGCTTTGTATGTGATTTTGATGGTCTCACTTGTTTAAAGAAAGCCCTTTCTTTTCTTTTACTACTAAACTGTGGTATACAAAACAGTCCAAATGCTGTTACTGTTGTTATTGTTACCCTAGAGTGTCCATCAGTATGTTGACTATTGTGAAGAAAAATGCATTTCTGAGACTGTAGCTATTTTAAGGGATGGAAGAAAAGAGAAGAAACAAAAACCTGATGATATTTAGGCCATCATGAAAAAATGATTTTTTTTCTTCTTGTTTTCTCTCCATAAACGTTTTTAAGTAAAAATGTCAGTTGTGGGGTAGGTGTTGGAGTGCAGTGGGTTAAGCTGCCACTTGGGATGTCTGCATCCCAAATCGTTGAGCTACTCCCAGTCCTGGATCTGCTTCTGGTCAAGCTTCCTGCTAAATGTGACTTAGAGGAAGTATATGATGGTCTAGATATTTGGGTTCCTGCCACCCATATGGGAGACCTGATTAAAGTTCCCATATCCTGGCTTCCACTTGACCCAGCCTCAATTGTAGACATTTGAGGAGTGACTCAGCAGATGGAAGATACCTCTTTCTCTGTCTTGATTCTCCCTTTCTTTCTCTGTCTCTTTCAAATATGTTAAAAACTCAAAAGAAAATGCCAGGTATATTTCAGTTACATAATAAGTGTCAGGTATAAAAATTCAAAAAAATAAATGTTAGGTTATTTGACTACACTAAGACCCATCCATTGTTCTCAAAGCTATTGTGTAAATAGAGGCTTCAATAATTAAAATTGACATAAAAATACTGTGCTAAAATAGGAGATATTAAAAAGAAGTACTGGAAGAATTTTGTTCCTTTGATTTGTGACAGAATTTTCTGAGATGAAGCTCAATTTTAGAGGAATTGTTATGAGAAGAGGGGATTTTAGGGTGTGAAACTAGAGATAGGAAGGCCTGTAGGAAGTGATGATGTGAGAAGTGAGGCAGTGTTGATGGTGACCATCACTAAGACAGTGTAGTGAGGTTTAGGAAGGGTTCATATCCATCTAGTAGACTTGTACTTGTTGTATGAGGCCAGTGTTTTTTGTGATTTGTCAGTTTGCCTACTGATCTGGATGTTAAATATCTTGGGTATGACTTCTCTGGGGAGAAGATGTGAACAGAGGTTTAGAGAAGTATTTAACAGAAAGAGTGAGAGGGATATAAATGTAAATATAACACTATGCAGTGCTATGAGAGCAGCAGTTGGCATGAATATGTGTAAGGTATGGATCAGATTTTAAAAGGGAACTTATGAATTCTTCCCCAGGAGTTCAGAAAAGACTTCACAGAATGTCATATCTGAGCTGATATTCCTAATGCAAAAAATGAAACAAATGCTTTTCAGGCAAAGCAAACAGCGCTGTGCTAAGTTTGCAAAGTAGTACAATAGAGTGTGACAGTCACACCAATTGATACTGCTACAGTGCAAGATATTGGAGTAAATGGAGATCATTGAGGTTTACTCAACTAATCATATATGCTTTATACATGATATTATATTGGATGTCTAGGTATTTAACCAAAGGGTGAATTTCCTATACTGTGTTTTATACCTATTATTTTGAGACTAATTCAAAGTGAATGAAATAAGAAAGCTCTAGTACTCCATTTATGTAGTGTCTCCTCATTTCTTTATATAGCTATCTATAATGGAATTAAAGTATTGTTAGTTTAAAAAGGAGCCCAAAGCTACTTGGAAGAGAAAATAGCTTAGAGGAAATTAGGTTGTTCTGGCAAATTAATTCTACTTACACAATATTGGTTTACAGATTGTCATGCCTTTTTTTTTTCTAATAATAGCAGAGCCATTTATGATTCTGAGGTCATGAACAAAGAGGACCATCTACATGACATGGGAAACTAATTAAGAATGCAGAGATTGGATAATGTGGCATACACTACTGTGAATTGGGGTCAGGGCCCAGTTCTTTGTATGCACCCTTTTATTTAGCCAACTGCATCCTTCAGGTCTTTGCTTAATTGTCCCTTCCCCATGGAAATCATACACTCAGTTTTATTTTTCCTTTAGAAACTTCAGCAGCTTGTTTTTTTTTATTATAAATTTAATTAAAAATTGCTTATTAGTTGTTTTTGGTTTTGTTTTTTTGGCCTGTCTGCTTGCTTGCTTGCTTGTTTTCTCTCTTTCTCTCTCTCTTTCTCTCTCTCTCTTTCACTCTCTCTCTCTTTCTTTCTTTCTCTTTCTCTCTCTCTCTCTCTTTTTCTCTCTCTTTTCTTTTCTCTTTCTTTCTTTTTTTTTTTTTTGTAGCTATTTGTTAAAGTGATGCCCTCTGGAGGGGAAGGACTTCATCACTGGAGAAGAGGTCTGTATTATTATTATTTTTTGGCATGATAAAATACTGCAGTGGTCAAGAGTTCCGGGTTTTGAATCCCAGAAATCAGATTTAAAGCCCATCCTCTACCTTTCAAGTCTCATCTATAAAATGGGGATAATGTGGCAAACCCTGTAAATCTTGTCTTATTAATCATCTGTATCCCTAAGAGAGGAGTGAGCTTGAAATTCAATGTATGGCTCCACTACCTAAAATATTGCTCATCACATCATAAGTTCTTAACAAATATTTGAGGAATAAGTGAATACGTGAAAGAAAGTACCCTATATCTGGCCCAGGTTCTCACTGAGGTATGATTATGCAAAAGAAAGATTGGAGCTTGTTCAGTTTTGACTGGCTTATGCAAACAAGATATTAGGGGTTCTTTTGTTTAGCTGACTAGAGATTATAGTACATTGGTCAGATTTGGCTGTTTAGAAGTAAGAACTGGGTGAAGACCAATCACTTGTTTATCAGTTTTCTGGTTTTACCAAGAACAGGGTATGCAACTGTATTCTTTTGCCTTAATGTCACCTAGGTTCCATCCTTTTTGTATTTTGGCTTTGGCTTAGCCTGAGAGAATCCATGTTTGCACTGATCACACTTAATAACCTAAAAATTTTCACTTTGGTTCAGTAGCTAGTACATAAAACAGTATTTATTTTAAGACAGTCTGTATATTTCTCTTTGTCTTAAATCAACACTAGAAGTGGAATTTCTGGATTTCGATATAGATACATGTATAACTTTGTAAAAATACTACCAAGCAGTTCTTCAGAGTGATATTCCAGAATGTATGGAAATTCAGGTCACTCTACATCTCTGCCAACAGTTGATGTTGCTCTTTATAAATTTAGTCATTTTAGTGGGAGGACAGTGGTATCTCATTGTGCTTTTAATTTGCATTTTTTTCTGATGACTAATGCTGTTGAGCAATTTTTCATGGAGATATTGGAGAGTTTGTGCATCTTCTTTTATGAAGTATCTTTTTAAGTCTTGCTCTTTTTTAGTTGGGTGGTGTGTCATTTTATTATTGAGTTGTAGCACCTTTGTGCATATTCTCAGCATCATCCCTTACAAGACACACACACACACACACACACACGTTTCTCTTGGAATGTGACCTAACTGCTCTATTTTATACAAGCCTTTTATTTTTTCCCTCAGTACTTTTATTATAAAAATTTTTAGATAAACATAGCAGAAGCAACAATAGTAGAGACCTAGTGAGTGCACTTCACTGAGATTCCTCTAATGCCAAAGTCTTATAGAACCTTGACATATTCATAAAAATAAGAAATTAACAAATTTTTATAGATGCCCTTTATTGGCATAAGAAAGCACTGTTGCAAGTTTTTGTATTTGTAATTACTCTTCATTTTACTTAAAACACTACTGTGGTTGAATATTAAAACAAAAACAAAAGCAAGTAGTGATCATTTTATAGTGAATCCTTCACTTATGCACTGCTGTGTATAAAATGCCCACAGTAAGTGTTATCCATTGCTCCCATTAAGAGGTTTGGCACTGAACAACTCCTCTGCCATGCTATTAATCATCCTTTATATGCTTCTTC